TTTTTGGGTTTTCAAAATTGTTGGAGTTAGGAATATAATGATGTTAGTAAACGAAGAATTTTTTTTTTTTCATTTTTGACTCAAATGTATTTTATGTTGGTTAAATTTAGATGATTTTAATATGTGTTTTAGGTTTCAAGATTGGCGTTTGCTCTTAATTATTTTGGTTGTTTTTTAGTATATTATTCAGTTTATTATTCGTTCAAGTAAATCTAGATTTTTGTGATTTCTTGGGATTATTTCTGGATTGTTTTTGTTGTACGTTGAGACATATGCTGAGTTTGTTCACGTTACGTTTCTTTTATTTCTAAGTTGGTTAATTAATTATTTTTAATAATATTGGAAATCTCACTTTTTACCTGAAGACGGTCGCGAGACCAGAAACACGTTTCGTAAAAACATATAAAAATGGCATACTATTTTTTCTAAATAAATCCACATTACAACCAAAACGTTTTTTATCAAATTCTGAAAGTTCTATTTTTTAATATACATACTTTTCTCATGTTGGAACCACTACATAGGCGATCTTTTGCATATATATATATATATATATATATATATATATATATATATATATATATGGTATATATATATATATATATGTTATATATATATATATATATATATGTGTGTGTGTGTGTGTCATTTCTGTGGTATCATTTCTCTTCGACGCAGAGTTCATACCTTCTACATAGGCATCAGCCCTACTTAGCAGACAATTGATCATGATGGGCTTTGCATCATTTATTTGTTTTATGCAACCGACTTCTTGGAAAATGCTTCACCGATCACTACATTCTTAATCTATTCAAGTCTCAGGCCAACCATTATCTGCTTTTAACAGTCTCATTCAGTATCTCTACCTTGAGCGGCTCTTGCATCTTGTAATAGGTGAACAATAGTAAAATAAGTTCGAACTTTTGCATTCGTTACTGATCCGTTAATATTTTCTTTAAAAAAATATTCTTATATAAAAAAATGTACAATCTCCATTGAAATGGCTTCTGTCAAAAGCGTCAAATATGAATGGCAGGAATTGTGTCAGGATTTTACACAGTAAAACATTGCTCAGCTGAGAATGAGTAATTAATTTCAGTCAAAGACACGTTCAAGTAACATGGATAAAAACAAGAAACGAAAAAAAGACAAAAGAAGGTCTACCAAAATTTACAGCGTCAAATTTTACAGGTGTACATGCGACCTTTTTGTCTTTTTTAATGGGACGCTTAATTTCATAAGGAAAATAAAGTTTCTTAAAATGTTAATTTGGTTCTTTCTCATTTGTTCAATCACCCAATCTCTCATACATAACCAACTAAATAAACAATGATTAAGTACGTTTCTTGAATTTTCTAAAATTTCGGGGAAAGTAACGTTGTTAGCATTTTAAACCATTGGCGATTTTCACTAAGGAAGATCATACATGTAAACATATTTTGCTTTTGAAACAAGAAAAGTTCATAAGGTTTTTTCCCTGAACAAGAAATGCTTTCACTTTCAAATGAATAAATTAGAAATAAATTCCACGCAGCGGCATGTGTTAATTACACTATCATCACTGATAATATTATACAAAACGTTAACTTATATTTTTATTATAAAAATAAAATTATAACTTTCCTACCATTTCTGTGCTTACGTATATGGTCGATAATTTTTACTACGAAAAATTACCTGGAACTTTTTTAGTGCGACCCGCCTTGTGATGACCCTTTAGATCGTACGGCCCACTGATCGAAAAAGGTTGTCCATGCCAAACCTATAGCAATTCAAACGAATTTATTTCATCCTTATATATATTAGATCGTCAGGAGACAAGGTGAGGTATTCTCTGCCCTTTCTCCTGGCCGCGGAAGCATGTTTGTCGTTCATATTCTTCGATAAAGTCTGAGATTTTAGGTAGAATTAGAGTATTAGTGTGTCCAGTGCATGCTATGAATGTTACGGGTTCTACGTCTCCGGGATTTATAAAGAAAAAAATTGCTATTAAGAAACGTAGAGTCGAGATTAAGCCAATATAAAAAACGAATGACAGAATTCAGGTCTATCTGCCCAGAGAATTTCAAATAAATCTCGTTAGGAATAAATTTTATTATTTCTTCGATTTTTATAGTAAAATCTATGAATATTGAATAAAATGAAAGGTATATATATTTTTAAATGTTACGTTACAAAATATATCTTTAAAAATAAAATCATTAAATATTAATCTGCAGACGATTTTGCTCTAGAAGTGATAACGTCTGCTTTTCTTACAATTTACTGGGAAGAAAGGAAAATGGAAGAAAGAGAGAAAGTAATAAAGAAACGCTACACGATTCCTTCTTATGATATGTTTCCACCATAAAAGAAATAGAGATTGTTTTATATTCGATGTTGACTCCATCTTATTTAGGAGTGAGATTCTGTATAAATTTCCTCAGGAGAAAATTAAATTCGTCTTTTCCATTAATGTCGTGGAGAAAGAGTTTCTAATGATAACAAATTATGATGAAAAAATTTTCGTAGATGTTTTTCTTTTTTTTTTCTAGGCAGGCGAACTTATGAAGACAAAAAAATAAAATTAGCTCTATCCCTGAGATAGAAAGAAAATAGTGGGTAAAAAAAAAACAGGCGAATATAAAAACAAAAACAACTTCCCTAGTTTGAGAATAACAGAAATCGATTCTTCCCATTCAACGGTACAGAGTACAACGTCAAATAGAGTCGATTTTTTAAATTGCGTGAGGTCGAGCTACTAAGAAGTAAAGCTCACTAGAATTCCTATAAAAATATTTATAGAAAAGACAGAGGGAAGTCACGTCACGGTGGTGAAAAAGTTACTAGAGTCGAGATGCGATGTCAGGGCCGATAACATGGCCGAATATTTTTGTTTTCTCGAAATATAAGAATACTATAATAGAAAATCGAATGTGATATATAGACAGAGAGTAGAGGAAAAAAGAGAATATTTAATTTGCCTACAAAGATATAACTTTTATATTCATAGCGAATGAGGAAACAGATAGACAATCAGGCAGTTATCGAGCGAGATAAATAGATGGGAAAAAGAAAAGAGTAAACACGATCTATACAAAAAGGTAGAAATAAAGAGATGGACATTAGTCGGAGTCATAAACAATTTCCGGATTTTTATCAATTTTATTCTTAAAATATACTACTTGCATTTTATTCAATTATATAAAGGGTAAAAGAGAAATACATCCCACGTAATGCTAAGACAATAGCGGCAATGGTGTTTTCATTTCACAAATGTCTTACCTTTATGTGTGAGATAGTCCTGCCGTACCCTGTATATCCACCTTTATTTGCAATATCTTGTTGCCTCTTAGACGTACATGATAAGTTAGTTTTGTATATGTTATTAAGATTATCGGGAAGCACTATGAATAAAACACAATAGGCAATATATATATATATATATATATATATATATATATATATATATATATATAGAGAGAGAGAGAGAGAGAGAGAGAGAGATACACCTAGTGAGCCAGACAAACCTACCTAGGTTTCACCTAAACGGATCGTCAGGAAACTTTCCTGACGATGCGTTTAGGTGAAACCTAGGTAGGTTTGTCTGGCTCACTAGGTATATCTAGGGTCTGCTCTACGGTTGTATTGAGCTCTTTTGTTTGTTAGTTGTTACTCGTATCAGGGTTTTTCTTTGGGCTTCAGACCTGTATCTGTGCGATTTTTTGTTAGCAGAAGTTCATGTTTGTAGCTCTTTCTTTTGTTAAAACCTTTTTTTCCCTCGAGATTGATTTGATTAGCAAATCAAAATTCGAGGTTTTTCGAAACGAGTCTAGTTATCTATATATATATATATAAAGAAATATGTTGTAGTGGTTCCAACGAGAGAAAAGTATGTATATTAAAAAAGAACACTATGCCGCAAACGTTTTCAGTTGTAATGTATGTTTATTGATAAAAAATAATTATACTTTGTTTTAGGAAATTTCACGACACGTGTTTCTGGTCTGGTCTCAGGAACCGTCAAAATAGAAAAAGATCCAAGATTTTTACATATTATTAAAAATTAAAAGATTTTTTCTTCGATAATGTGGAATATTCTCGATAAACATTCTGTTTTGTGACCTTCAATCAGAATTTTCTTTTGACAATTGTCAATGAAAAGTTCTGCGTGCTAACACATAAAACAATTAATGTTTGTCATCGAGAATATCGGCATTTAATTTTTAATGAAGAAAATTAATTATTTTTAATAATATCTATTTTGGCGTCCACTTTCACCGTGAAGACGGCGTGCGAGACCAGACTACAGAAATTCGTGTTATTTGAAATTATGTAAAACAAAGTATAATATTTTTTCTCAATAAGTCCACATTACAACCAAAAAACGTTTGGCACTAATTCTTTTAATATTATATATATATATATATATATATATATATATATATATATATATATATATATATATATATATATATATATATATATATATATACGTATTTATTTATACATATAAGCAACACAAAGAATTGAAGGGGATAACAGAGAATTGAAGAATTGATGATGTTTGTTATGATTTAAAGAAAAAACTTAACTTTAACAATTCACAATATATCTAAAGGAAAAAAAACGATATAATCATTGCATATTGTTACACAATGAATCCAATTAACATTAAGTCAATTGAGAAAATTTATTGAAGTGCTGACCGCCATTAAACATGGCAAATGGAACTGGGGATCAGTCTACCCCAGCGAGCGAAATAAAGGTTTCAGTTCGACATCCCCATCACCTGAAGAAGGCCGTAGCGTACAACGGGTGAAACATTGTGATAAATATAGCAACAAAGATGAGGATGATAGTCCGTACAATGTAAATAGCGTATCTTTCGATTCAAATCAATTTTTCATTTTTGTTTCTTTCTCGCTCTTTCACACACGCACTCGTACACGCACACGTACAAGCACACGTACAAGCACGCACAAACACACACACACACACACACGCGCACACACACACAGAGTCCATTCTTTTGCCTCACTCTATTTCAATATATATATACTTATCACTGTCCACTTCTTTTCTATCTATCTATCTATCTATCTATCTATCTATCTATCTATCTATTTCATTCTGCTCATATCTATCTATCTATCTATCTCATTCTATCTATCTATCTATCTATCTATCTATCTATCTATCTATCTATTTCATTCTGCTCTATCTATCTATCTATCTATCTATCTATCTATCTCATTCTGCTCTATCTATCTATCTATCTATCTATCTATCTATCTATCTATCTATCTATCTATCTCATTCTGCTCATTATCTATCTATCTATCTATCTATCTATCTAAGCATCAAATTTTATATTCAAAATAACCAAGCAGGTTTAATGTAATATATTGAACAGCCTAATCTAATTACCTCACTAACGGCAATATTAAGAAATACATTTATAACCTTGCAGGAATCTTGCATGTACTAATGACTTCACTCCATCAGATTCATCTTTACTCTGAAGATCTGATTACGTTTCACCGTGACCGATATTATAGTCCTCCATAATAACACCGGAAGTAACATTACCACTGGACCGGAAAGAAGGTCAGACAGGATCAACGCCGGTTACGATAAAAAAAATCAAATCATAAAAAGACGGTAGGAAATAAAGACGAATTTTCTTAATGGTTCTGGTATTCAACTTACACTTCCATCTCAACCCAAATCTCACCTCCCATACTCCATAAGAGCTGGCACTAACGAAAAGATGACCCCAACGAATACATCATTATTTATAACACTGTAATATGTGGTCACTGTCTACGGGATAAATATATGGATCCTTTTTTTCCCTGTGGCAAATTACAATTATTTTGTTTCTTTTCCATCACAGGCGTTTTTCTTTTCCACATTAGCTACCGATGCGTCTGTTTTCATAATTGTATTTATAAATTTGGTAATAGCTCATCATCCTGAATTTATTATTGCACTTCATTTCACACAGATGCGAGTTAATTCATCATACAATGAGCTCGCATTTTTTGTATTATCAAACATATAGATTTTATTACAGTCGGGATATACTTTTTTGCAGACTTCAGATTTTTACACTAATATTCATCCAATAGACGATCCAAAAATCACCTGGTATATTGATGTTCTAAGCGTTGCTTAGATGCGGCACAAAGCCGAAAGTATGGGGTACTCAATGAGGATCGAAATCATTTTTCAGTCGTAACTGTTTTAGCGAGACGAGCTTGCTAACCATTACACCACGCCGAGGTGCCCAACGAATATAGTGATTTTCCAAGGGTAGCTTAGATGTGGCACAAGGCCGAATGTATGGGGTACCCAGTGAGGATCGAACACACTATTCAGCTTTAATTGTTCTAACGAGGCATGCTCGCTAGGCATTACAATGGCTCGGGATGCCCCATTATTACCTGGTGTATAAGCGTAAGAAAAGTCAAGCAGTGAAATTCATGGGGTTACGTAAGATAACCGTTAACCCTACTTGTATGGTTCCGATTCCCGATTCCATTAGGAACATACTAGTAGAAAACACAAATATATTAACTGCATCCACCTGCAAAAAAAGATTAAAAGTAATGGAAGCTTTAATAATAAAAAAGAAAAAGCCAACTCTTAACAATATTAACTACGAACAAAGCCACAACGTGCTAACCGTATTCGGAAATTAAAAACATCCCTACCATACACAGAACGCACACATTCAATTAAACTGAAAAATTGAATCATCATTGATGATGGCTAAAGGTATAGCAGAAAGCGCTCGGAAATATAAAACATTTGAACAGTTCTTACACACCCTTTGTCCAGAAAAGAAACCTCTTGTTCGAACACAAGAAGAATTAAATACAAAGCTTAACCGTAGTACCTTGTCTGTCGTTTTAATGAAACATGCATAAACGAAGGATTGCTGCCTAAATATACAACTATATATTTGAAACATGCATATATATATGTATATATATATATATATATATATATATATATATATATATATATATATTGTCCAGTACGACACAATGAAGTGATTTTCTTAGCAGCAGACCGTGCAATTCATTCAATATCATCATTTACTTCATATCAGCCGTGAATGTTAGACTCAGATGACTCAACGAGTCACTCTCATAGAGGTTAGGAAGCGGTCTTTAAGGTGATTAATAGGAAGAGGTTAACATTTGTAGGCGTTAAAATTAATGTCATTTCTTGACCCAACAAACTGAAGGTCATATTATAGATCACATGACAAAAAGATACAAACTCTGGCAAACTGTCAATGAAAAAAAAAATGTATGGAGATTAACAGACAAATAGTTAACGAAATATAAAATATTTATTAATAAATACTAAAAACTTCAAATAGATTGGTTATAACTTGTTTCGTATAGGGGATAAGCAAACTGAACAGAAAATAATCTTCGAAAGTTTTGTTCAACACCTTACGATGCTACAAAACCAACTCATTAATATAAGAAATTAACTCATTTAAACCTTATCCAGTTTTGACTCTCATATGGATTTCATTCATAACACCATTACAGTTTAATGCTCGGAACGTATTTTGTTTGATTCTTCCATTGACTTCATCCAGCATCCTGCTACTTATGTCTTTACCGAAACCCTGCCAGAGCTAGCTTTCTGGTGCTATGTCTTACCAAATGGCACCCAGCAATTTAGTCCAGTGCCTCTATACGGCTTTCAATTCAGAGTTGTTCTTCTCCTAGACTGGTTACCAACCAGGGATAAAGAGGGCAATCAGCCCTGGTAATTTGCAAATGCCTTGTCGGGGACGAGATGAATTCATATATTTTTTAAGGATATCTGCGCATGTGACTGAGAAAAATAAAAGACTCTTCAACTACTTATATCCACACGAACATTCACCCACACACATTGTTGTGTATGGTAAAAAAATCAAATCTGTTTACCCGAACTGGAACACGTATATTTCACTGTTGTATCATTTACAACAAATAAGAACCCCAGAAAGAATTATTTAAATGATTTTAACAGATGACGGAAAATGTGACACGCAATAAGGAATCTGTAACTATATTATCTCTTCTAAGCCGTTTTTATTATTATTCTTTTAATTTTATTTCCTTTGATTTCTGGTGTCTACACATTTCTTTCCGGGTCCCGCCCAGAGACCTAAGGTTAGAAATGGCATCCTGACATTTTTCACTGACCAATTAAAAAGCACACACACATATTTTACATAGATAAAGCCCTTCGTGAGATGTAGGCTGTACTCGTGAGAACAATTTTTGGTATTTCTTTAAGGCATGGGCTTCCAGGAATCCTTTAAATGAGTCTACTGGAATGTTTTCCAACCAACCCGATGGTTCCAACTACAACAGGGTTTGTTGATGTTGCCATGTGCCACATTTTTGAAATTTCAGTTTATGTTGTTGAATGGTAGCAATGGAGTCTCACCTTTGGAGTATAGAACGAGAGTTTCAATAAACTACATGTATCTGCTGTGGTTTTCAAAGCAAATAGATTTGTATGCGATGCTGTTGCTAGCCCCATACTCAATGCGGTTTGAATTCAGTTTTATAATTGTCTCAAGCTAGATGACGTTTTTCCCCTGCTATCCTGTTAACCCATAGCCAGCATCGATGAGAAGTGAGAGGATTCATATTTTCCCCCTAGGGTATATGTGTGAAAGTGAACGCAACACATTCGAATGGAAGTTAAATTTGACACAGCAATCACAGTTATCCCGCTGATAACCGCTACGCTACAGACACACTCTTTCGTGTTATATTTTCTTTGTTTCTTCCTTGCTTTTGCATATTCATATTGAATGAATTATGTGATTATTACAAGAGACTTTGTAACTAATCTCCAGTACCTTCCTCAGTATCTACGTAGGCCATTTCTTTCGCGTTCTTACCCTATGAATCTACTTGTTTGTTCTTGCACAATTTTGTATTTCCCGCAAAATCCATATAAGGAATTCTTGTTTCAATGTGTTTATTTGTGCGAATTATTATTATTATTATTATTATTATTATTATTATTATTATTATTATTTCCTTTGATTTTCTGGCGTTTACACATTTCTTTCTAAGGTTAGAAATGGCATCATGACACTTTCCACTGATAAAGAAAAAATATTACATAGATAAAGCCCTTCGTAAAGTGTGGGCTGTACATGTCAGGACAATTTTTTGTATCTCTTTGAGACATGAACTTCCAGGAATCCCTTCAATTAGTCTACTGCAATCTTTTCCAACCATTCGTAGGGTTCCAACTACAACAGGGATTGTTCATGTTCCCATATGCCACATTTTCGAGATTTCTATTTCAAGGTCCTTTTATTTTGACAGCTTTTTGAATATCTTCAAAGATACGTTGCAGTCAGCAGGGACTGCCATATCAATAATGATAAGTATTATTATTATTATTGTTGTTGTTGTGCTTGTTCTCCTCTTCATTAATTCGCACGTCCGTTACACCATTCTGATACATCATAAATAATGGACTATTCCATTTTGATCGCGTGAGAAGACAAAATACATAAAAAATGCTATTTGATTTCAGTGAGAAAACAAAAGAAATGAGGGAAGATAGAAATGTTTGACGTCTGTTTCAGTGAAATGGAAAAAAATGTTAAATTTTAAAATTTTTCATCTGTTCCCTATTACTTCTTAAAATAACGACATTTATATTTATGAATATTATTGCAATATTTTGTAAAAGTCTGTTAAGATCAAGTATTTAAATACGCGGTATGGGAATTCCTACGTATTTTTTTATTGTCGGAGAACTCGCCATGAGCTTATTAAAATCATTAAATGAAGAATTATGATTCAACAGAAATTTAAACTAGTTATTATTATTATTATTATTATTATTATTATTGGTGTGTCTCTCGGTTTACGATCCTTGCTGATACATGGAAGTTCTATTTGTAATTTCACACTTCTCTTCCTGCCATTCCCACGACGCCCATTTTCCGTCCCGAAATGTCCAACAGAACGCACTTCTTCCTTCGGTCTTATTTGTATATCCGTCTGGCCTTTTCTCAGACTTCTTTTAGAATTAGGCTTTGCCTGCCACCAGCTGCGCTCCGTGATACTAATGACGTTTGAGGACGACGGGCAGTGGACAGGTATTTCATCAGCGTTGGCTGCTTTATGTGTCTGAAGTAATTAAGTTTGCTGCATATTTAACGAGAACGCAAGAAGCAATCTTACTCGAGATTAGTCCATCTCTTTCTGTTTACTTTTCCCTTTCCCTCTCCGTTTATTTGTTTCTTTCTTTTTTTACTCATTTTTTCCTTAACTCATATTCCTTTCTACACCCTTTTTTCTCTCGATTTCTTTGCTACAACCTGTTTGTTTCTTCATCTTAGTATACATTGCTTTTCAACGCATGTCTGAGTTTCCTGTGGTAATGGCGGTTTTCCAAGCGTATCTTCAATGTGACACAAGGCCGAAAGTACGGGGCACCCATTGTGGGTATCGATTCACTACTCAGTTGGAATTGTTTTAACGAGACAAGCTTGCTAACCGTTACATCATGCCCAAGTGTCCTAATGGTTTTCTAAGCGTACCTTAGATGTGGCACAAGGCCGGAAGTATGAAGCACATAGTGAAAATCGAACTCACTATTCACTCGTAATAGATTCAGCAAGACAAACTTGTTAACCATTACATTATGTCGAAGTGTCCTGATCTTCTATGATAATGGTTGTGGTGGTATTGCAGATTCCTTTATCATGATTGATTATGCGATTCGTTTTCTGTGAATTTGCAGGTTATTTAAAGTCATAAAATAAATTCAGATTATAATATTTTTTTTATTCTTGGAAGGTGGGATGCAATAATGATTTAGTGGCACAGGTATCCTCTTCCTCCTTCTTCTTTTTCTCATCTCCTCTTTTTCTTCAACTCCTCCTTCTCCTCCTCCTCCTTCTTTTTCTTCTTGTTTCCCCTCCTCCTTCTCCATCTCTTGCTTTTTCTTCTTCTTCTTCTACTACTACTTCTTCTTCTTCTTCTTATTATTATTATTATTATTATCATCCTCCTAATTTTTCTCCTCCCTTCTTTCTTATTCTTCTCATTCTCCCTCTCGTTTCTTCTTTTCTTCCTTCTCCTCCTCTTCCTTCTTCTTTTTCTCCTCCTCCTTCTTCTCCTTTTTCTTCTTTTCTCCTCTTCCTCTTCCTCCTCCTCCTCCTCCTTCTTCTTCTTCTTCTTCTTCTTCTTCTTCTTCTTCTTCTAATGCTTTTTGTCTTTCTCTTAAACTTCCTGTTTGTTTCTATCCAGCACTATTTCTTTTCTTTTGAGGTACCATGTTTTCTTTTCTTTCTTTCTTACTTTCTTTCTTTTTAATATTGCATTCATATTTTCCATTATCGCTGGATTTGCTATATGATTTTGAGGTTGCTAATGATTCTAACAATGCCAATTTAAAATGTCTTTTTAGCTTTTCCATTTGCGTATTTTTATTCCCATTAAAAAGAGGAGAGGAAGTGGATTCATAACTTTCCTAAGGGTATTATACTTAAGTGGATATAAAGGAAACAATTTGAATTGAAACTCTGCTCTCTGATGAACAATTCCGAGCCATAATCCATTACACCACCCGCACATCCAAGCGTACAGAATCAGGCATTCTCAAGCGGTCACCCGTCTAGATACTGACCAGGATCGACGTTGCTTAAATTCAGATTTTACGGGAATCAGTGTTTCAACATGATGCTGCCGACAGACTTCGTTCATAAGGAAACTACAGATATTCATTTACAGAACAGTTAGAATGCTTGCCGGTTGAAATGTTTAAAATTTTTCGTTTAAAACAGTTTTATATAGGAAAATGAGTTTCTCAAGTCCACACTACTTTCTAGTATTGACAGATGCTTCCTTTCAAAACTTTTGTTTAAGCTATTGTGGAAAGTCAACATCTGATGTCATTATTTTCTATTCGTTTTACATGTGGTATCCATTTTAGTTTTTGCCTCAGTTGATGTAGTTTCTGTTTTTTGGTAAATTTTACTGCTTGCACTTCTATAGCACCAGTCTAAGAGATGCATCGAAGAATAGTCCTGTATAAGTTCGTTCAGCGTATTCCTTTTTAAATCAATGAACTGATGAAATTTTTTTATGTAGCTGATATTACTGAAAGAGTTGTTCGCCATGCATGGGATCCATATACCACTCAAGACCTGATAAGGATATAATGACAATATATTTGTACTGATAAGCATACACGGAAAGGATAATACAAAATTTACGACAGATGATAGCGAGAAAGAGGGACTAACTATAAACTACAAGGAGACAGAATACATAATCATCAGTAAAAGGATGAGCCCGAAATGCAATTTACAGGAAAATCAAGCAGGTGCGGAAATTTAAACACCTGGGAAGTGTTTTAACGTAGGACGGTAGGTGTGACATGTCAGATCCGAAGACGGATTGAGATGGCCAAGGATACATTCCAAAAGCTAGGCAGAGTACTGCGAAACAGGATGATTTCTTTAGTGACAAAAAAAAAAGAATACTGAGCAGCTACCTGACATCTGTCCTCCTATATGGCAGCAGATGTTGGCCGGTCTCCTCAAAGATGAAGATGAGACTCAAAGCAGCAGAGATGTGATTCTACAGAAGGATGCTAAGTATATCATGGACCGAACAGGAGAGCAAAGCTGAGAGCTTAGAGAGGTTGTAAACAAGGAGGTGTCTTATACTTAGTATCAGAAAGAGGCAGAAATTTCTGGGACACGTAATGAGAAAGGAGGGCCTGTAGAATCTGATACTCACAGATCGAATAGAGGGAAAGAGAGACAAGGGAAAGCAATGCATGACATACCTGGCGGTCTTAGGCAAGTAAATGGTGGAAGGTGGTCTGGGATAGATGGCAGAGGGACGCAACTTATTTAGAGGTATAAGAGGTTGGGCGAAGTGGAGAGCCATGATCTCCTACGTCCTGAAAGGACACGGCAAATAAAAAGAAAAATTAATCGATCAGCAAGCCGAGTCATTGAAAACGTTTAGTATTTATTAATACATATTTTTATCGTTTCTGCCATCTAAACAGTCTATCAATCTCCTTATTTCTACATATAATTTGTCTTATTGATTGTTTGCCCGATTTCGTAACTTTTGTAAAGTTTTGCTTGACATGTTTCGCTGTCATTTTTATTTCAACGAAATCAATATTGGCGAGAAAGAACTTTAATCAAGTTAGCCATTGTGAACGCCATAATACTTTTTTAAAATTTTATTTTAAATGAAATGTTTCTTACATAATATTTTTTTAAACATTAACTCAACATTATTTATATATTTATTTGTATTGAGAGGTTTCGTATCAAATTTTTTTCCACAAAAGTAAAGTAAGAACAGGTGTAAAAATCCCTGTCGTATATTACGTGTTGGGATTCGCAGATTATGGCACATTAAATTCATATTCATTTGAGGAAATCGGAGACACTTTGTAATAAAACATTATTTACCAGATTGACGTGATTCCCGCTCTGTCTCGCCAATTTAGATTTGACTGAAATAAAATCCATTTTTATGTTAACGCTGTTTAATCAGTGAAAGTGTTTTCCAAAATGTCTTTTATAGTTACTATTCTGTCAGTTACTCATCTAAATTTAAATCATGGAGATTGCATCTTGCATTTCACACTGTCTGTTTGTTCTCTCAATGATTTAACTTGTTTTCTCAACGTCTGTCACTTTCTCTGCTATTATTGACATAGTTTCTTACCATCTTATTATACAACGCTTCATTTCTAAACTTTGTCTATCTCACGTTAGGCAGCTTTTATCTCTGGGCTATTCGTGTTCTGAAAATGATCTTGACGAATAATCTTTCGTAGAAGTATTTCCTTCTCAATAACTCATATCATTCCGCGAGACTGTTGTTTAACATTACTGAAATTTTATTTCAAATTAAACATCCATTTGAGATGGAATACCAAGTAGACAAGAATGATCACGTTCAACTTTCTTTTTGTTTTTAATCAAGGTTACAAAGCCGCCAAAGTTGCTCGAGACATTTGTACTGTGTACGGAGATATCTTTATTACCGTCAGAATGACATATATGGTTTTCCCGTTTCAAGGAGGGGACTTTCAAGTACAAAGACACTTCGCGTTCTGGTTGACATGCTCAGTTTGATGAGAACCAATTTCACGTGCTTATTAGAGAAGAAACGTCAGATCACTAGAAGATGGGCTCAGAAGATGCCAATCTATTGTATTACTGTGGGCTCATCGTCATCACTCAGTGATAAGATCCAGTAACATGGGTGTCACACGCATTGATCTTTGGATGACCATTACCACCAGTTCATTTCCTCGATAGCAGGCTACTCTTGGACACAAAGAATGTTCCCTTTACCGTATTATCACCTGGGATAGAAATATGAAATAGAGAGAAGAATGGGCGAGTTCCGACTAAAAGGCAATATCTCAAATCAAGCCGGATCTGCGCCTATGCAAGCGAATGTTTGCGATTGGTGGGATTGGAAAGGAATAATTTACTAGTACAACGAAACGCTCAATTTTAAGCTGTATGCTGAATAAATGAACGAGTTCAAAAAGGCAATTCAGCTGAAAAGAACTGACCGGCGATACAGTGTGATTATTCAATGTAGTTATATGACCAAACATGCAATTAAAGGATTCGATTGGATAATTCTGCTACACCCGTCATATTCTCCTAATTAAACCCATTCAGACTACCACCATTTTCGATCACTTTGTAAGAATTTAAGGGGTGTTTCGTTCAACAACAATGTCGAGCTTATAAAGTAGATTGATGAAATTCTCGAGTCAAATCTATTGATTTCTATCACGGAGGCTTTGAACAGTTAGTGGATGGTCGTCTGGAGCTCGTAAACAATAAAGCGAAATGTATTGTTGAATGATTCACCACATCTGGTAATAAATAATACGAATAAAAATAAATAATAAAAAAACTGAACACATTTATGTAACAACCAAAGATTTTGCTTTGTCCCGTTTCTTTTCTTTTATATATCGCTTCAAAATGAAACAGGTCAGCGCTCACTACAACTTTCTGTCCACTGTAGCTCTAAGCAACGTTTACATTTTTACCAGCCTTCTTTAAACATGGTCTGCCATCTATTAACACAAACGTTTCAGATTACGTTACTCGTTGTGTCTCTCTGTGACTTCAATATGTCTTGTAAGTGTCAAATTATCTTTTCTAAAAACTGCATCGTTTCTATTTTTGCTGTCCTTTTTTACCTCCCTAATTACCTTTTTTTACCTTCAATTTCCATCAAACTTTCAGAATTTCTTTATTATATTTATGCATTAAATTTTTATTTACACTTTTCTCTGACGAAAAACAACATATTCTTCCCTTTCTCTCGTAAATCTATTTAGCTTTGTTCATTCTGGCAACATTTCATAAGTTGCATACCGTACCTGGCGTTCTCCCGCAATTAGTCATCTTACTAATGATCAGATTCGACTCAAACAGAGTCGAATCTGATGATCAAAAACTTGGATGATCAAAAAATTATGGGGGTTTGAAATTGTACGTTCTTCTATTTGATATTTATTTTTGGAACCTTTCTTTACTTCCAGTGCTTGATCTTTTTAATATGTTTTTCCCTTCCTTTTCTTACATTTTTTAATGCTTTTTCTTCCTCACTTTCCCTTTCGGGACTTTACTATATTTGTACAACTCACTATTATCACTTGCTTTCTTTCTCGACATCTTTAGCTCTCTTTCTTTTGCAAAATTTTCCAGGCTTTCTTTCTTAAAGTAAAAACGTTTTTAATTTTGTGTTTCTGCCCTTCGTTTTTTCTATTTCCCACTCTCTTGCATACTTTCTTTCTTTTGATATTTTTTCATCTTTCTTTCTGTCTCAGTTTCACTCATAATAATTTTCAATCTTCGTTTTGTTTGTTTGCTTTTTGTCTTTCATTCTTCCTTCCTTTCTTTCTTTCTTTCTTTGAATTCATTCATTCTCTATTTTTGCTTTCTGTTTCTCTTTCTTTTTTCTTTCGTTCGCTCATTCTTTCCTAATATTTATTGACCCTCTCTTTTTGCTTGTTTCTTTCTTTTTTCTTTGACTACTTCTGTCACGTACTTTACAGAAAATAATCACCAATTGCTTAAGATAAATTATTTGACCAATGAGATTCCAAATCTGGCCCACGAATTTGTCATATCTATGATGTTCATGTACACACACGAGGATAAGAACACGAAATTTACACACACAGTGTACGAC